CAAGTAACAGGAAATTTTCCTAAAAGTAAGGTGCTGCAAATGTTAAGTGCCACAGGCCAGAATCTGAGCAACCCATTGGGTTGCGAGTGCGTTATGGCTGAAGGCGCGGAACCCTGAAGGGCGTGGGTTTTTTCAGAAATTAGGCCTAAATAAAGTTTGTAGTGCATGCTGAACATTTCCATTGTACCGGTAGATTATTAAATACCTGAATGCTAATAAATAAGCTTTTGCTTGTTTTCATATCCTATATTTGTTAATATGTGAATTCATGACCAATGTTATATCCAAAATAAACGTAAAAGTAAAAACGCTGTTTATCATGTTGTTTTTATTCTATATAATGTGAAGGAATGGTGCGACTAAATGGCATGGTCATAAATGCAGAGAAAACCAAAACAATGCTAAATGTCTCGTCAACACAAATACAAAAGTTTATTAGTATCTATATGGAGAATTTCTGGAAAATGTTTATAATGCTGTACTCCTTGGATTGTCATTTGTTCAAAACTTTGACTCGAATTTCCAAATTGGAAGAAAATTCAAAAGTAATTTCCTCAAAAATCTATTTAACAAAAATCCGAAATATTTGCCTATCGAACAGTTTTTATAATAGTTATATCTTACCATACTTTGACTAGTGTAATACAGTTTGAGGTAATGCCAGTAAAGGCAGACAAGAGGTTTTACTTAAATTACAAAAACGTATGGCCAGAATTATAGTAGACGCACCATGGGATTCCAGTTCGGCTCCCATGTTTAAAAAAACTAAATTGGCTTGATATTTACTTAAATTAAAGCCTGGAGCACACTACGCGACGATATAGGCGATTTCGATGATCGCTGATATCAGACATAATTGATATGATCACCCAAATTGTGTAATGTGCTCACCTTGGCGACAAGTTAAGCGACAACCAAGGGAATAAATTTACTATTAAACCAATCATTTTTGGTTATTCTTCTCATGAGACATAACAACATATGAGGTTTCTCAGAATATTTTTCTGTTGCATGCATAAGTGGCTCGGGTAATCTAATTTAGGCCTAACTAACTAATAGAAATTAAGTTTGCAATTCTGGCACTTATTAAATGTGTGAGCTGTTGGAATACATATGGTAGACCAAGTGGATTGTTCCGTTAATATAGCAATACACTCAGCAATAATAGTCAAAGGATTCATAGACGATAATTAGAGTGGGCGGTTTTTTTTTCAAGCACCTGTAGCGAGAAAACGGATGTTGAAAGTCAATCGCTCTCCTGGGCTTATTGGTTGTTTCATCTTGGTTGTTTGTTTGGTAATTATATTTAGGATACTCTGGAATATTTCTGGACTCATCCTCACGTAGCCGGTTTTCTATATGTAAACAAAAGTCACCCAATTTGAGCTCGTTACTTAGAATACTATAAACGCACTGCACTCGACCGGTGTTGTACAAAGACGGCTACGCTGCCGCCTGATCATCATGTTCAAAACAATATTAATTGAGAGAGAGAGAGAAATAGGGTTTAACGTCCACTCGACACAAACTAGGTCATTTCGGGACTAACACATGCTTTAATTTTATTTCAATAATTCGCTTGCGCGTAGGGGTCTGTAGTTTGCGCCAGGCTTAAAGCTATTCTAGTTTTGAAAGTTTTTAGAGAAAAATCAACAGTTTACCTATTTGAGATGTTTTATGAAAATTCAATATTAAGAACAACAAACATGATTTTAAAGGAGCTAAATCGCTAATATTTTGGACCTAGAAATTGGCACAAATAGGTTGCAACATATATAATAAAGTAATATGAATTTATATAACCTGCTTTACATTCAATCGAGTCCGTTTTACTGTGAATTGTCATCAGTTATGTTTGGCGAAATACGCCAGAAGTCCCAACCGCAAGTCTGTTTCTAGCGTCTGGTTATTCCAGTCAACACCGATATTATTTATTGCGCATGCTCTCCAAATAAGAACATGATATCACCGTTTGACATGACTTGTGGAATATGTCTAGCGTCATTCTTTGAGCACCTTGTTACAAATGGCGCTGGAACGCATTATGGTACACGATTCGTGTACCAATGGTAAAATGTTTATTTTGTCTTAAATATTGGATATCAGAAGCCCATCTTTTCCAGGTAAGATCACAACACCAATGCTGATTTAAATTGCAAAAAAAATCGTGTTTTCAATGTCGAAGATTTTGGATGATATTGAGTTACAGACTTAGTTACTTTAAGATCAGAAACACAAAAAAAAATTAAATGTACCAAAATGTAAGAAAAATGGATGATGAGATCTTTTCAATATACCTCTTCTTTGTTATGGAACTCATTTCCCCAAACTAAAAAATTCAAACACTATCCAAACATTCAAAAAAGAAATTGTATTAATACTAAAAGAAAATGAATATGAATAATTATCTGGTATACTATAATGATATTTTGCTATTATAAATCTTCTATTATAATATTGTTGTGTAGGAGGGACTTATACGGTCGCCATTATCGATGATAGACAACTCAAGTGTTTACTCATCCAAAGAACCTTTGCACATACATGTACTACAATAACATCAGGATTATCAGTTAATCAGCTTTAATTATCCCGCAGGTATATAATAATGATACAATTCAAATTAGACTGTTGACATTAAGAATGAAAGTAAATGCATGTTTAGTGGAGCAGTGGTGTAGCTGGGCCATCGACGTACTCTCGCTGTGTCAGTACTCGGTAGATATGCACATGCAGTTCTTTTAGCCAATAACGCCTATAGTATAACATAATATGCTATTTTTAAATAATATATCTTGTTCAACATGAAAAAAATTATTAATTTTTTCAACCATTATTATTTTTCTGCTTTTTATACGCCCACATGGAAATGTTGTATATTGTCGTCGCTCCCATCTGTCCGTCGTACACAATTTATAATCTGATTGCTTGGAAATTGATAAATGTTGTTTACATTATTGAGATGAAGAAGTCTATTTAATTTCATTAATTTCCGTAAATTGTGTCTGGAGTTATGTATCTTGTTTCACTTTGTTGCACCTTGTGAAAACTCTAACTACAAAAGTTATCATCTGATCTGTATGAAATTTATATGCGTCATTTAAATTAGTAAAAATAAGAATCCTATTGAATTTCAGCAATTTCGGTTAATTACATCTAGAGTTATGGCCTTTGTTTCACTTTGTTGAACCTTTAACGCCAATGTTAACATCCGCTCTTGGTAAAATTTATATTCATTATTAAATTAGTAAAACGAAAAATCCTATTGAATTTCTGTTAATTACTTCCAGAGTTAAGGCTGTGTTTCATATTGTAGAACACTGTAAACCCTGTATGAAATTTTCTTGTTAAAGACCCTATTACCTACAAAAGAATAGATATGCGACAACACTTTTTGATTGTTCGGACGATTTAGCTGCTGTGGGTCAATTATCATGACATCAAAAATGAAGACTATGACCTACATCTAAGAGAGAGAGAGTCCTAATAATCGTGTATATAGTTTACCGTTATTATAAGATTTGCCGACTCCATATAATTATGCTTGATGTTTAGGAATTAAATTAGTTTAAATTAATATTACACAAAGTTATTTTATTAAAATTAAATTACTGATCTTTTTTTACCTGAAAAGTAGCTGGAAATTGGCCTAATTTAAAGGGCGAAATTTGCTGGGTGCCAGCATCTAATGACATCCCTGCTGTTAAGATTAGTTCATTACAATGGTTGCATCCTATTAGCACAATTATAGCCCAATTTAATATAGCAATGAATTCATTCTATCCCTTTGCGTAAAAGACAAAAGTGATATTATCATTAACCGCCTTGTCCGCCTACATGAACTAAATGTGCAATTATTTTATATAAATCTGTTTGTTTAAAAAAAAAAGTTACATTAGTTCTTTAAAAAAATACTCTCCAAACCACCAAATGCTTGTTGAATTTATGGATTTAGGTAAAATAATTGACATTATATCCTTGATGTTTTTATTGCTATAGATACTGATATACATGTAGGTGTTATATGTTTGAAGACTTAACAAATCATTTGACATATTCTTCCATGATTTGTTGTTACAGAGACTGAGTAGGTGTAATGTGATTGTAGAAGTTGACAACCTCTGTAAATCTTGAGTAATACTTACACACATGACTAGTTATATATTTTAAGAAACAGAAGTCCCAATAGCACCGGGGGGTGGGGGTGATAGCATTACAGTGAAACCCTAAATGGGAGTCCAGTAGTACTATTGTGTTGATGAAGTAGTGGGGTGGGGGTGGTAGCATTACAGTGAAACCCTAAATGGGAGTAGTACTATTTTGTTGATGAAGTAGTGGGGATCGAGGGTGTAAATTAATAGGTTGTACTGAAGTACTCAAAATTGAGCTTTGAAAAGCAAATCCATGAACCTTCATGTTTGATTCTAAAACTGTGCTTGAATAGCATTATGACATATAAACAGATTACATCCATCATTTAATGTTAATTGTTTGGGCATAACTAATTAAAGAGCTATTTGATAATTAAGTTGAACTAGAGAAAAATATCATTTCCATTGTCAAATACAATAAAAGATAATTGCTATCCTATCTGAAGGGAAGGTTTCTGGAATTTGGCAGAGGATAATCCAAGAACTTACTTAGGCTTTTGATATTTATGGGACATGGACAGCGATTAATGACAAATACAGTCTAAAAATGGATTCTCACTCAATCAAGTCACATGACAAACAAGGGTTCTTAAAATAGATTCTTGTGTCATGGGGTAGTTTTCTTGCAGTTATAATGTTTTGAAAGGGATTTGAAGCAAACTCTTGATAGATATATAGTTTGGGTATGTTTTTAGTTCAAATTATATCATCATACCACACAGTTTGTATGCAGGAATGCATTAATGAATCCAGTGCTTGAAACGGAAGCTCTGGGAATAGATAGCGGAAAAAAAATGTTTATTTTATAGTTTGTTTTATATCGCTAACATTTCCATATTTCATTTTCAGGTGTAATAAAGAAAAAAGTCCGGAAATTGTTTTAAATATAAGGTGAGGATACACCAGAAGCAGGGTAGGAAAGGTGTATATATTACATATTTTAGACTGGCCAAAATTATAATAATGTAGGTCAAATTTGATCATGTTTATGGTAATTAATTTAACCTTGCTGTTTAATAGCCACTTCTTAATATCATTTTCCTTTTTCAAAAATTATCTAAAATGTTCCCAAAATGATGAAACATTTAGTAATGAAAAAATCCAAATATCAAAGGTAATCTCCCGGTTTGGATTCATTCGGTTTAAAAAAGAGGCTTATCAAAAGATTTTAGTGAACAATAAAATTGGCGCTGGATTGTTTTGACCATGCCATTCATATCATTTGAATGTTGACAAATTTTCAATTCATAGCGTTAGGGCCGGATAAAAAAAAAATATGTACATGTAGGTCCAGTCTGAAGTATATTCTGGACGAGTAACACAAGTTAAATAAAATATAAATATTGAACATTTTTATATGCCCACATTTTCCTGTGGATGTTTATTGTCGTTGCCGCCGCTGGTTATACCGTACGTCCGTCCACAAATTGTTTGTCGACACTCTAGAGGTCACAAATTCCATCTGATTTTGATGAATCTTGAAATGCATGTTTATAACCCAAAGATCTTGGTTCCCATCGATATTCGCGCATATCGGATTGTAACTTCCTGAATTGTGGCCCTCGATTGTACACAGAATCGCGTTTTTAGCTTGTGGTCCCTCTAGAATTTACAATTATTATCCGATTTAAAAACCCGTTCGAATATATCACCATTACACTGTAATGCTGGTTGAGTCCCAATTTCGTGAAAATTCGACCAAAGCTACAGGACAAAATGGCCACCCCATGTGTATAAAAATATGGTATATCAAGGTTTTGGACCATCTAGAGGTCATTTATTGTCTAATTTTGATGAAACTTTAAACATGCATTATGCAAGAGCAAAATCTGCTTATTACAAGTCTTTCTTTAGGCCTGAAATGTTATCTAAATTATCAATTAGACATTAATTAACTTATCCAGACCATAATAAACTCTCGATGTCAAGGCTAGCCTTCGATGTTGGCTGGATTAGATTCCTATATGCCGCTAACAGCCATTGATAATTAAATGAGAAAAAGTGGATAATCGAGACTATGCTGTTTATATTAATGATTTTAGTAATGATGACCGAGACTATGCAAAAATTTCACCAGCTTCTTTCTCGGCTCATAGTGGATCAATTTGACTGAAATTTTCAGCAAATTACTTTTACACTATCTAGTTTTTAACTATTATAGCGAGAACTGCCATCTCTTTATCTGATCTCCCATAATGTATGTTTAATATGGTATATCAAGGTTTTGGACCGTCTAGAGGTCAATTATTGTCTAATTTTGATGAATCTTTAAAGCGGAAATTGCAAATTTTTAAGTTATATTTTTAAAATTTATTAAAATAAAGCCTGAAAATAGATGGTATCCATAAACAGTCCTACCTTGTTAAAGAATAATCCTATTAATCCTATAATTCACTATTGCCAGCTGAGAAATTGGCAAAAATATCATTTTCCTCTTCATTTTCAAACGTTTGAATATCGCTACTCCATGGTGGAGAATAGAAAACAAGGGAGGTAATTGTGTTATTATTTCCTGTGTAAATGAATCTTAAGTGTGAGAATGACACCTATGATCGTATAATTGTGAGTTGACAACCTATTGAGCAAAAGACATAGAAATAATTACGTTTTGACTTTCTTAGAAAATTTGCAATTTCTGCTTTAATATGTTTATAACCCAAAGATCTTAGTTCCTGTCGATATTCGCGGATATCGGAATGTAACTTCCTGAATTATGGCCCTTTATGCATGCAAAATTGTGTTTTTAGCTTGTGGTCCCTCTAGAGGTCACAATTTTTTATCCAATTTAAAAAAAACCATTTGAATATATCACTGTTGCACGCTAATGACGGTTAAGTTTGTATTTCATAAAAATCGGACCAAAACTGCCGAAAAAAATGGCCGCCCCTCACATGCAAATAGTGTAAATAATAATAAATATAGGGTATATCAAGGCTGTGGACCAGACCCGTCAACCCCTTAGAGCTCCAATGCAGTAGGGTAGTGTAAAAAATACAGTATCATCCATGATTTGACAGTAGATTTCCAAAAACTCGTAAATTCGCACTTCCAAAGGTAATTAATTTAGAAATGATACATTGAACTGCAGGCCCAACAACATAAAAATTGCATTAAATGGGTAATAGATATAAAATATACACAAGCAATGATAACCATATAAAATTTATGTAATTATAATCAAAATTGAATATGTAGCCTACAGAGAGAAATAATGTTAAAAATAATTAAAATTATCACTTTAACTTTATTAGCATGAATTTAAAAATATCCTTGTTTGTGTTCCCCATTCTGGGAGGTTTTTGTCAATATTGTTATTTATAAGATAATTGGTGTGCTTATCAGATTTTATAGTATTTTTACATTAGGAAAAAGAAAAAAATAGTTTTGCATAACGACTAATATTGGCATTGTGTATGGGATTTATTTTCTTCCGAAAATCTGTTTTTACATTTATTCGAGAGAGTGTTCCATGAAGTCAGAATCGACTAGACGTATTCCCATCTTGAAATTAAAGTTCCAGGTTATGTTGCATTCGAAATATTGTATTTGAAGCTGTACGCGTGCGAATGAAAATGTCAGCCATTTCTGCCGTAAACAGGTCGCTATTTGTTTATTTTATCGATACGCAGTTTAACTTGCCAATAACTATATCCACTTTATTAACTCTGTAGGTTGAAAACAATTTGATAGTAAATCTGTTAGCTAAATTACACCTTACAATATCCCAACCATTGAAAATGCGGTAGAAATCTATTGTCGCGCAGTAGAACAGTACATGAGGTCTTTCCGCGGCACTTTATCATGTGATGCGGTAGGGGTTGACAGGTCTGTTGTGGACCCTCTGGAGGCCACAATTTCGATCCAATTTTGATAAAAATCTGACCGAAACTGCCGGAAAAAATGGTCGCTCCTTGTACACAAATAGTGTAAAAGTATGTAATACCAAGTAGGGCTGCAACGATATACCAGGCCACGATACGATTAATATCGCGATATAGGAAATAAATTTAAGAAATGCTGTTAAATTTTGAGTCTTTCACTGAAAATTCGAAGGCCTACTTTTATGATTTACCTTAAATGTGGTGTTTTCTCAGTCAACTGACTGGATTTCATTGCTGTCATGCTTAACGGGAAATCCTAAAAATTCCCATACTTTACTTGTGACTTATATATTTGGTATGGGGGATTTCGATCTCAATATTGCTTTTGTCGATCATGTGATCATAATGATGAATTTATTATGAAAAAATTTCAGCTGGCTGGCTCGTATTGCCACAACAATTTCATCCAGTGAAAAACTTTCTCGTTGTCAGGTCAGTCATAGATTACGGAACAGCAAAGGAAATAACTTTACGAAGAATTTAATATCAAATATACATTGAAAATGTGCTGATTGATGTATGCAGTATGTACAAATCACCATTCTTATACAGTAATATTATCACAAATGGCATATTACGAACGTATATTTATTAATATGTTTTTTTTTTCCGCATATTATTCAAGTGTGTATTTTGAACGCAACTTAATTTCCAGCACGACTTGCTTAACCAGACTGATATTTTAATCTTGATGAAATAGTTATACTATATTAATAAGCCACTTCATGTGTCGAAAATGCCATAACACTCGCTGAAAGTAAAAAAAGTTATTTTGCTTATGGACTTGTTTACGCATTTAATTAAAGGAATATCGGTCTATTTTTGTGAAATTATTATTTGGATAACGAATCGCAATATGACCATTGATTGTATCGTGCTTCATGGATTTTTAAAACATCGTGATTCATTGATGAATCGTTGCAGCCCTAATACTAAGGTTGTGAACACTTGAGAAGTCACAATTTTTTATCCGATTTTGATGAAACTTGATATGTATGTTTATAATCCAAAGATCTTGGCTCCTTTCCATATTTGCGCATATCGGACTGTAACTTCCTGGATTATGGCCCCTGATTGTACGAAAATCACGTTTTTATCTTGTGGATCCTATAGAGGTCACATTTAAAAAAAGTTTATTTGTATCACCTTTTACACCATAATGACGTTTGAGTTCGAATTTCGTGAAAATCGGGCCGAAACTGCCTGTAATGCGGGGGTTGTGGACCATCTAGAGGTCACAATTTTTGTCCTCTGTTGATGAAACTTAAAATATATCTTTATATCCCAAAGATCTCAGTCCTTTTCGATATTTGTGCATTTCAGACAATCACTGCTTTTATTATGTCCCCTGTATGAAAAATCACTTTTTGTCCCCCGCCTTTCGAAGAAAGCAGGGGACTATTAAAATGGGTTCGTCCGTCTGTCTGTCCGTCTGTCTGTCTGTCCGTCCGTCTGTCTGTCCGTCACACTTTTTGGGACACAATAACTCTCTTCCTAATTGAGCTAGAATGTTCAAACTTGGTGTATGTGTTTATTAGGTCAATGCCTTGATGGAGTTCAAAGATGAGCATTTTCCGCTTAGGGTAAGCAGAGATAAGCAATTTGATTGGTTGATGCTTTGGGACACGATAACTCTCTTCCTAATTGGGCTAGAATGTTCAAACTTGGTGTATGTGTTGATTAGGTCAATGCCTTGATGGAGTTCGAAGATGAGCATTTTCCGCTTAGGGTAAGCAGAGATAAGCAATTTGATTGGTTGATGCTTTGGGACACGATAACTTTTAATTGAGCTAGAATGTTCAAACTTGGTGTATGTGTTTATTAGGTCAATGCCTTGATGGAGTTCGAAGATGAGCATTTTCCGCTTAGGGTAAGCAGAGATAAGCAATTTGATTGGTTGATACTTTGGGGCACGATAACTCTCTTCCTAATTGAGCTAGAATGTTCAAACTTGGTGTATGTGTTGATTAGGTCAATGCCTTGATGGAGTTCGAAGATGAGCATTTTCCG